AATGCTCTGGCAGGAACATACGATTTAAGGAATTCCTTAAGGTAGCTCGGTGCCGTGTTGTTGGTCATTTTAAACGTAAGCAGCAGTATTTTAAATTGGATGTGGTATTTTATGGGTAGCCAATGCAGGTCAGCTACAGTTATCCTTTGTCTTCCCTGGTGACCTTTATTTTTTTATCCACAGTGTTTATATGAGCAGTGAAGGATTCAAATTCTTGGGTTTTGAAGAAGACACAAAGGATATGGGCTTTGAATCACTTTACAATCCATTTATTCTGTTCTTATTTATGGTATGATTTATACAGTGTCCCATCTCTTTATGAAACAGGGTTATAAATTTAAAATATTTGTACAATGTTTCAATATAACGTGGATGGGTGTATGGATGACGGGAGTAATAACCAAAGTCTTAGTCACGGAACACTATTGCTTTCCGTTCTGTCACTGCAATCAGGTGCTATCTTTACTCGTGAACCATAACCACACTGTTCTGTTAATAGCAAAGTCTTGCAACTTTAAGAGAAAAAAAGTAACAAAAAACACTTGCTGTGACATCACAATGACGTGTGCACTTCTGAGAAATTCTTTGCATTAGTAGATAATCGCAATCCTGGAATATTTTTCTGCTATGTCATTCAGTTGTAGTAGTTGAGATGTATTTCTTGCCAATGGGCACCCTTTATATGGAGCAAACAGGGTGTTTTGATGGGGATGGGGGAATGCCATCGTTACATTTTTTATTTTTATTTTTTAAAGAATTTTGTTTTGCACTGATGAAAAGGATTGAAAGTCATGTTAAACAACACAGCAAGAGGTGCAGTGACTCTTTCACATTGCTGTAGAGCAAAATCATTTTACTTGGAGGGTAAACTGGAGGGTTTTCGAACATGAGTGACCCGTTTAACGTCAAGCCAAAGCATCTGGTCATATTTAAGACTTTAGTAGGCCGCTCCAAAGCCATTCAGAGTGGAGGTCCTGGTGCCTTTCAGATAGTTGTGTTCCTGCATGATTATCATTATGTATTATTAGCATTATCCCCTAATAAAGGAAATCATTTAAAACTGCACTTTGTATTTACTTGCGTTATTTTTGCATAATGTTGAAATGTGATTGAATCTGAAACAAGTGTGACAAATTACCAAAAAAAAAAAATTGCATATATGCATATGAGATGGTGGTAGGTCAGCACCTTTCAGTGAATTTATCACAATCATTTTATCTTTAACTAAAGTAGATGGGCCAGTAAATGTCAATTGATTTCATGTAAGTTAATCATTGTGTAAGCTCAATGTTTTGGTATTAGGAACTGTAACTTTACTGTTTTGGTTGATTCTTAGCACTGTGATCAACCTTGTCTGCATCCATATTAGGCTAATTTAACTGTAATAAAACAGTTGTTACACTACCTGCCCAGCAGAAAACACTGTACAAAGTGAGTCCAGATTTTTTTTAAAATGAGATAACAGAAGCAACCACAGTATTTCCATCATGTCAGCTTTATAAGATTATAACACAATAAAGCTGTTCTTTAAGTTGCCAAGCAATAAATGTAATAATACGTATTTCAATTTTTTTTCTAGGTCCCTGAAGAGGACATAGTCAGTGTGACAGACATGCTTCAGCACCAGAGGAACGAACCAGCCACCAGCTGATTTCTGAAGGACTGATAGTTCTTGATGATCTTGGTTCTTTATGTCCTCTTGCTCCAGTTCTAACAGCTAGAGGTGGCAGGCCAGCAGAGAAGGAGACTAACTCTGTGCCTAGATTAGGACTGCATTGCCAGCAGTATTAACTACTACAAATTTGCCATGAACACCGCAAGCGCTTTTCTGTGGTGCGTGCACACAGTTTGTATGCGAGGCCTCCTGTTATACCTGTCAAGGCAGGATGCACAGGATGAGCCTTAGGGGGTCCTCAAGCTGACAAATGCACATCACAGTACACAAACACTTGAAAACGGACACAACCACACTTTAGCATTCAGTTTCACAAGCTGAAATTGGCTTGAGCGTGTATAATAGACATGTATGGTCAGAAGATGAATTGTTATTAAGAATTGTTTTGCAGCATAGACCAGAATACACTCAACACACATCTTAGTCTTCCAGTGTGGTGTTACATTATAATATCATGTCAAAGCAACAGTTGTTTTGTTTGTGAGGGATTTTTTTTTCTTCTTTTTTTCATTTAAAGACCATTTGCAAGTATTGCTGTTTTCATTTGTGTTCAACTGGAAGTGTGTAGCTTGAAACGCAACGCGGTGACAAACAATCGTTTGTAATTATCATGCAAAAATACAACTGAGAATTTTTGGTTTTGACAACAGAGCTCACTTGTTCTGGTTTGAGAAGAAATATGTTGATTCTTGTGTCAAAACTACCACAATCTCTGTAGGGGGTGACCATTTCTCCTTTTTTTAAAAAAATAAATAAATAATGGGTCAGCATTTCTTAACCTGAGGTCAATAACACTATGTCTTATTTTTTGTTTTTGTTTTTTTTGCACAATAAACTTTGTATCTAGCTAATATCACTTAGATCGTTTTTCGGTGGTACAAATGCATTTTATACAATTTGAAGTAAAATTCTTTTTGTGCTGCTTCAGTTAATAAAAGTTCTTCAAAATAAGTTCCATGTTGACTTTGGTGTAAGTTATACATCTACACATCCCAACAAGTACTGACAACAAATGTTGTTGTCATTTGTCCTACATGATGCAACTGGGCCTGTATTAAGTAGCTTTGATAATAGTTATTTATGGGAGGGGGGGTTTCTTTTTGAAGAAACAGTTGAGACAGCTGAGAGGCAAAATGTGGTGTTCTTTTGGTTTTCATTTTAAGAGTATTAACAAACCTAAACCAACACACTAAAAAGTTCTTCCAGCTGGAGGTGCAGTAGGGCTCAGATCAGTGATATTCCTGTTGTGGCTGTAACAGGAACAATTACTTATTAAGCACATTTGTTGAAGATTTTCTTAAGTTTAACCCAAATCAACACTGAACAGGCTATTGGGCAAAAATCCCGACTTTGTTTACCTGCAGGAATTTGGTGTTTAAATGCTCATCGCTGAGTTTAAATTCCAAAGATGAAACCAAAGCATGGCTTGTGTGTATTTGAATAAACAATAATATTTATTAATCTGATTGTTGTCCAAAGGTGACATTTAAAAGACAAAAAGTGGAGGCCCCAGAATGGACTCCTTAAGAAATAAAAGAAGGCTGATCTGTAAATCTCCTAGCAAAAGGGTAAAAAAAAAAAAAGGGAGTCTGTTGCAGGTTTGCTCTGATCATTTTTGTTAATCACTGACTGAACTATACACCTGCTTTACTTTTTTTGTAAGAAATGCGACAAAAGAAACATAACAATTGCTTAAGACAACTTTTGAGCTTCTTCTCCACCTCTTCTTTAAGGTTTTTCTTTTTCTCTGTAAGAGATTTTATTAAGCAACACCAGCAGCAACATAGCCGCAAACACAGCACCATGCTTTTCTGCTAAAGCAGGCTAAGCCTATTCTTGTCTGACAGGTTGGCGTCTGCGTGACGTCTTAAAGCTTCAGTCATAATGGGAAATTTGTGGTTGAAAGTTACATAAAACCATGATGGGCAGGTAATATCGGAAAAACATAACAGACATACGATTTTCTTTTTACTTGACACATACTGGATGCAGTTAATGTCCTTAATAAGACATAAATTCAATTTTTTTTAATCAAACTTTAACTTTCAAATGATTTATTGTTGAGCCTTATCCATGTTATCCAACTTCTGTTTAAAAACCTGGCCTATATAATGCAAGCCACATCGCATGCAGATTGCATGTTTTTCATGCTCTGATATATTTTGAGGATTTTAGTTATCTGAGGTCTATCTGACCATGGTCACGCCTCTTATGAAACCATATGATCCAATAATATGTCATAATGTGAGTGATGTTAAAACAATTTTGTCATGGAATTCCTTTGTATGAGGTGAATGTGGGTGTACGTGGGTGTACCTAAAATGCAATTTAAGCCGACCTACCAAAGCAAAGTTGCATGTTGCTGTTTTTCTTTTGTATGGTTTATCACGGACCACTGAGGATAAGAGTTAGTACTGCTACTATGGGTTGTAAACTCAATAGATCTCTCCTGCACTATGGTAAATATATTTTTTTTATTATTATTTAACAAACACAAATTTGACATGGTTAGGCCATTTGATCAACAAATACAACTGATGCTACATAGTTTCATTATTACATCAGGAAGCTTCATATACTACTCGTTTAATCTTGTTGCATTATTTTGGTAATTTTACAGTTTCTTGTTTAAGAGAACATTGTCAAATTCCATTTGTTTTTGTTTTTCTTCAGCAATCTTCTTGATCTTCCTGGAAGTTCAGTGGAGTCCTGTGTTTTCTGCTCCGATTTGTCCATTTAATAACTCCTGTGATCATTTGAAGAGAACCAATAACCTTGCCGAGTTATTCGAACTCGAAGCAACTGAGCTACTGGATTTAACTGTAAGTACTATCTAGTTAATCTGCTGTCATATACTCTTTGCATGATTGCTGTAACTATACACAGGACATTCTGTAGACTTTACCCAACTGCTGCAAAATTGATCCAAATCTTATATGTCATATTTAATCTCAATCATCTTCCAGAGTTTAGTCTTGATTTTATGACATTTCACCTCATGTCTGTCCTCCTCTGTCCTCCTGTTTAAAATGGTTTTAAACTCTAAAGTTTACTTCATGCAATATTTAAAACGCGTCTGTCGAAAATGTTTAAAATGCTCACTGATGTATAGTGGATGTTTGCATGAACAGATGTAGTCAGCAAGAGCTTAAGTAGCTGATACATAACGGTACTCTCAAAGGCCCCTCAGTGTAAATGCCTAGTGTCTTACTTGTGTGCTTTTAATCTAAACTACTAGTGCAAGAACCTGCTGGGGTTGCAACTTATGGAAGTATATAAATATAAATCTTAAATTAGTAATGCTGAATGACATGAATCCATCATGTCTCTGTGAATCTGCTGTTTGTGAGCACAAAAATAGACAAGTTGACAACGTACACAGCACATTATTTTTTCCAAAGTGTATTTAGTTACATTTATTCACTCATGACTGTTCTCATTACTTGTATGAACGTGTCACAAAACTCAGTGCAAGGCTGAAGCATCAAGTGGCTCTGTTCTTATTTGAATAGAGAATAAGAATTTTACAAGTTTTACAGTTTTATGGTGATACCTGTTTTTTTTTTTTTACCTACAGATAAGAAAATATGAAAAAAGGAATGAGACAATACGACCTGAAGTTCCTGACACCCAGATATCTGGTAAAACCACTTGTGAGAAGCTGCAGAACATCTATATCAAGAATGAGCTTTTTAAGTTACACGTTTTACAAGCCAAAAAATATCACCAAATACTTTGGAGGAACCCAGTTGAAATTTTTAAGAAAACAGAGCGCGTTGAAAAAACACTAGAAAATTTAAACATTATGATAAAGATTATTCTCGGACCATTCGATTTCACTCCCCCAACCCCACCCCGAGAGTTAAACGATCGCTACAAACAAAAAATTTATGTATGGAGTGTTGCGGTCAGACTGACAGAATGGTCCAAACAAGTGCTGACGGTAGTTAATCAGACACTCTGTCACTAAAAACAGATAAGACTGAGAAAATATCTCTGTTATCTGGGATCCACCACCTCTCTGCTATTCCTGTCACGGTTAAGGTTTCCTTTTTAACCCTTGATGATGTTTCGACAGGGAATTCAAAGTTGTGCATTTCAGAATGGTCCCTTTGGCCATATATTAATTATTTACTGGTACCTTGTTTTTATTTATCTATTTCTTTGAATGTGAATATGATGTAACTTAAATTTGCAAAGTTATTTATATTTGAGAATATTTATTTATTTTGTTATGGTTAATATAATACCGGTCGCAGTGTTAACAATATCTTAATATGTTTTATTATTTCATTGTTTCAGTGTTTCAGAAAGGTTCATTCATTCATTTGTCATTTATTTATGACTTAATATTATTCGAGTGTGCATATGTGCTGTGCTGGTGTGTGTGTGTGTATTTATTATCACATCCTGTTTAATGTAATCTTCTGATCAGTGATGAGTAAAACCAGTGTGCTCTTAAAACAGAGGAACTTGTCAAATTGTGTAAAGTTTTTCTGCAATAATCAACCTTCTACTGAAATTGTGGGTTGTGTATGTGTACCCAGAGATTATGTAATACCAACAGAAAATTGTTTGTTATGTGAATTGATGCCTTCAACTGAAATATGATGAAAAGAACAGTCTATATGTTTCTGAAATGCATATGTATGTGGAGATTATTACATAACCTGCAAGTTTTAGTTTAGTTTTGTTTTTCTGTTTGTAGCTTAATTTTCTGTAACCTATTTATTTATTTATTTTCCAGCCAGTTCTTTTTAACTTATTTAGTGTTTTTATTATATATTTATCTCTTGAAAATGGCAACTGCTTTGTGTACAAGAGGCAGGTGTCTGCGGTTTATATAAAGTGCAACAATGACCTCACCTCTGTAAAGTCTTTAACTAAACCTTACGACCTACATTAAATTCAGATTCATCAGCTTGTTGTTTTGTTTTGTTGTAACTTACGCTGGAAAAGAGTCGTTTGTGTTTTGTAAATACAAAAATTTGACTTTTAATCCATCTTCAGCGTTTTGAATTGAGCTGCATTTCAAATTCTTCTCCCTCTGATTTGCTTGTGAGATCAACCAACAGGGTTGAGTTACAATGTTAGTCAGGACATGAAACTAGTCAAAACTTTTGGGCTGTGGTTAGCTGCATCTACGCAGTACTGCATGACTCATTTATAGAATATTTCATAGAGTACATATGTCATCACAGAATTCTTGCTAAACTACTAACGTAAGCTAAAGAAAGCTCATTTAAAAACTAAAAATAATCATGCATTTCACACTTACACAAACTACAATTTCACTTATGTTATGTAGCTCATATAAGATAAATAGCAGCCAGTTTTTAAAAAATCGTATACCCTTGCTATCTACAACCTAGTTTGTTAGTCTTTTTTAATTTTTTGCAGAGAAACTAACCCATTTATCTTTTAATATCAGTTTTTCTTTTTTTTTTTTCTTTTTAGTTTTCAACTCTATAATCTAACTGTTCTAGAGTTTAGAGAATACTTATCATCATCATCAGTAATTTCCTTTAGTGGAAGAGGTGGTGACCTGCCAGAAGAAACTGAATTGATTGGTTCAGTGGTTGACTTTCTTCATCAGAGGATATGGTTAAGTAAGCGATAGGGCAAAATTATATTTCACATGCCTACTGCCCTTGTCATAGTAAACTATGAGGAGAATTACAATGGGAGAATATAGAGCAGGTACAGTATACCATGCAACAACGTGAAGTAGTTTGTATGAGAAAGTACACCAAACTTAAAATGTTGTGATTGTACACTTGGTTTACAGGTTTTCTGAAACTGGCTTGTATCTGGATGGCGATTCTGATGCACGGCTTGGATGCACGACTTGCACCAAAGAAACATGCTGCAGGTGCATCGTGCAGTCCCAAAGACCTGACAGCCCTGACCAAAAGCCTGATCAATGAAAGCTTGAGATGCTTTGTAAGTAACATTAAAACTATTCATTTTCTCACCAGTGCAACCCAGAGAAGTGATTTTGTGACGCTATTTGCAATCTGCCAGCGTGCTTGGATGATGCAATAGCTGTGGGGAGGTTGTCTGAATTTTTCTATCACTTAAATTTCACAAAAACAGTGCAGCTCCCAAAGCTCTGCTGAGTAGTGCTGTGTCACAGCCTTCATTTCTAGAGTGTGTTACTCCAGATTAAAACACTTTTAGTGCCAGTACCATAGCAATTCTGTAGTCATTCTTTGAAGCAGTTTCAGTTAAATTGCACTTTGTTGCTATTAAGTTTAAGAGATTAGCTGCGTATTCATGGGATGAGCAACACACGTCTTCAAAATCTCCTCGCCTCACTCTTGTCTTTTCTTTTAGGATGAAGCCAATGGACACCTTGGTATTTGGTTACCTGGCTTCCCTGAGCTCCACGTCCAGAAGAGCTCTCCTCCTAATTGGACAAAAGTTCATTGCAGCTTGCTCTTCATGTATGAAGGCCTAAAAGACATCTTGGAGGACCAGAAAAACAACCTGAATCCCCAAAACGTTTCACTTCACAAGAAGCTAGAGGAAACCATCGCCAGGATTAAAATGCTTGCAAATT